AACAGGCAAAGTTCCCACGATGTCAGAGTGTTTCTCCAAACATAAACACTTATAATCGCAATAAACAGTTCCAGTTATTGCTTCCCACGGTCATGTAGCTTCTATTCTCAGGAAATTCACTCTTTTTAGTGTAGCTGGAGCTTTTTTTTAAAGCCTGAAACTGCAGGATAATGACCACAGAGTCAGAAAACAGAAATATATTACTGTAGTTCTACCTTCTGCACTCGATGCTTCACCTGTTGAACATCCTCTGATTTCCAAAATGGAGCCGTACATGTTAGATTAAAGTGCCTGCGTAAAGCGCTGCGCTGACATTTATTGGATTGGAAAATCTTGCCACACAGACACAAAGCTGCCATATTAGAATGAGCGGTAATGGAAAGAACCAGCTGCAGGTTGAAAAGTTGAGCCGCTGTTTATTGCTCTGACGACCGCTTTTCAAGGTCGACCTTAATTATTTACAACGGTTGCAGTTTTGTTCATGCGATTTGGGCCGGTTCGGTTCCAGGCGTGTGCACAGAACCACACACGTATTAAAGAAGCTGATCTTCTGCAGTTCATTTCCTCAGAGAACCGAGTAGATTTTTGCCAAGAGAACCCGCTCAATACTGTGATCTCACTCTTCAGCCTTAATCCTCATCCCCCTGAATTATTTGCACTCACGTTCTGCTTACAGTCGTGTGTCGTACAAAGCGAGTGAGAGGTCAACGCCGCCGTCGTCCTGACGCCGCTGTCTGTCAGACTCTCACCTCTTTACTCGGATGCAGCAGCAGCAGCAGCAGCAGATGCTCACCCGGGGTTGACCTGGATGTTGGAGGTTTTAGGCTTAACCTCGTTGATGCACTTGGGCTTAACCCAGATACACAGAATGAAAACTTTATTTTTCCCTTGTTTCATGCTTCTTTGTTGAGTCCACTTGTCGTTGTGTGTTCTTCGTGTTGTGTGTTTTCTCTGAAAGCAGGCTTCTCTCCAGCTCTTCTGTCCGTTTCACCAAATTTATTATTTTCATCCATATTTATCTATTTAAATTTTGCATAAGTAGTGATTTTATTATATTCGATTTGTAGATGATGAATTTATATGTATTATTTTTGAATGAGGACATTAGCATTATAGCATATGTTGGGTAAATCCTTGAGTTTTGATTCCCTTTGTAGTCATTTTGTGTCACTTTGTGGTTGTTTTGCATCTCTTTGGAGTCCTTCTGTGTCTGTTTTTGTTGGTTTTACATCTCGTTATAGTCTTTTTGCATCTCTTTGCAGTCCATCTGTGCCTCTGTGTGATTGTTTTGCTTCTCTTTATAGTCATTTTTTGTCTCTTTTTGGTTATTTTATATGTCTTTGTGGTTGTTTTGTACCCCTTTGGAGTCTTTCTGTATCTGTTTTTGTTTGTTTTACCTCTCGTCAAGCCCTTTTGCATGTCTCTGCAGTCTGTCTGTGCCTCTTTTTGATTGTTTTGCGTGTCTTTATAGTCCTTTTATGTGTCTTTTTGGTTGTTTTGCATGCCTTTGTTGTCATGTTTGTGATCCGTTTTTGCATCTTGTGTGGCTGTTTTACGTTTGTTTGTGTCGTTTTATCTGAATCTCCCACCAGAAATAAAAACACCGCTACTGTGAGCATTAATGAAAAGCGGTTCCCTCCATGTTCAGCAGCTAAAAGTTTGTCCAGGCTGAACTTTGTTCCCTGATGCTGCGCCCTGATGTGTGTCGTATGTTGTTGGTTTTGAGCTTACAAAGCACCCAGCTCAGTCACTGGCAGGGCAATTTCTGAAATTTGTGTTCTGCTTCACAGACTTTCCTCAACACTGACATAAACCCGTTGGTAGAGACGGTTTATTAATGCGGCCCACAATTCATATTCCTATAGAGAGCATATGGTAATTCAGCCTTATTGCTGTGAAGGCATTATCATGCAGCATGAGACAGTCTGCGTGACAAACCCTCCGCTGCCCTTTTTCTCAAAGCAGACAACATGAACAATTTGCGGTATAATATTTCCAACTTCTGCCGCGACTGAACTTGTTGTGATTATTCTAGACGTTCCTGTAATTGCAAAGTGCCTGCTGAAATTTTCTACAAGTGAAGTCTGCTCACTGCCGGAGCTTTATTTTCAGAGTGGGAGTGGGACGGGCGGGAGAAAGAACATTTTCCTTTTTATAAAGTCAAAAGGATTCAAATGGGTCGGATTTCACAGTTTGATCTGTTTTCAATTACTGGGCCGAGCCGCGTACAGAAGAAAACGCTGAACAATTGAAATCTATAGAGGCAGTAGGTATGGAGTGAGAGTGGGAGAGGAAGAGAGGAGGAATTGGAATGAGAGACAAGGGGAAATGAAAAGAAGGAGGAGGAAGAGTCTGGGGAGAGGCGAGAGTCCCAGAGAAACAATTGGATTAGACAAAGAGAGAAAGAGAGCAGCGTGGAGAGTGTTTGATAAATTGGCTGTTTATTTAGCTTTCGCTGTGAATGAGGCAGGGTGTGATGATGTGTTGTCTCCCCTCTCTCTGCCTCCCTCGCTACGAGGTCGGCCTCTCTGGCCCGAGCGGTCGGCAAGTTCAGGAGGCGCAATTGGCCGTTCGTTGCCAAAGGGTGGAACATCTCGCTGAGCCCTAATGGCTTTCACAGCTGGGTCTCACCCCGGCTCCCTCTGTCATCAAGTTTCATCCAACATCAAAAAGACACACCTTCCACTTGGCCGCGCTCACGTTTCTCCCCCAGAGGAAATCAGAGACTCTTGGCTTCTCATAAAGCTGCTGGCTATCACTTTGCCCCCGTTACTTGATGGTTTTCCCAGTGCGTTCTTCAAGCTCCGCATGTGCAGCGACTGTCACTGAAGCTTTCCAGGCAACCTGAGAGAGTATCCGCGGATCTTAGAGGCATCGCGGCTGTCAAAGCAGCAGCCGGAGTTGATCGTCACGGGCTGGCTTTGTTGTACGAGCAGCAGAGCGAGGACTTGGCCTGAATTCACCGATATCAGATGTTAGAATTTACCACCAACTGTGTTACAATATGTGGAATCTTTATGGGTTTTCTCTTGCCTCGGGGCAGCGTGTTGTTGGGTCTCAAGAAGCCTTAAAAGTAATTAAAACTTTTGTATGACAGTTTTTTTTTTTTTTAAAGAGACTTGTTTTCTCATTTTTTCGCTCCACGTCTACGAACACACATCATGTCGCTGTGTCGTGTCTACTGGGAAACAGTCCTGAGTGCTTTCTATTAAAAAAGCTTAGGGAAGCGGCTCTGGCTGCCCTTTATCAGAGCCGGCGAGGTTAAACCTGCATTAAATGATTTTTGGTCACTTGGGGCAGCGGAAACAAGCTGTAATCACAACGGTGACCTTTTAACGCTGACGGCAAACGTGTTCGCAAACATTCATATTTACACGTCGAGCAGACGGGGAGTAACTCTGTCATTTAATTTGATGATTGGAAGTCCAATATTCACTCTTGGTCTATTTTTGATCCCCAATACCAACAAAAACATCTTTAGCTGATAAATGCTCCACTTTTCTCTAAAACTACTTGCTAGCTTTATCTGGTGCTGCAGAACAAAGCAGTGAACTTGCAGAATAATGAGTTATAGATGTTGTAAATACAAAAATACTAATTTAAAAACTCACGTAAAGCATAGTCTTTCTCTTCTTCATTCTGGTGCATTAATTGTAAGTAGGCTCATTACGTTGGTCAAGTTAGGTGGTTTCCTCCCAGAGCCTGGTTCTGTTGAAGGTTTCTTCCCATTAAAAGGAGAATTATTCTTCCTGCTGTTGTCAAGTGCTTGTTTAAAGGGAATCACTGAATCCTCTCACTTATATAACATTGTAAAATCATGACCTTTCTATGAGAAGTGCCATGAGATGACTTATGTTGTGAATTGGCCCTATATAAATATAACTGATTTAATTACTTTCCCTCTGATGTTGAGCCATAATGAGTTAGCTGGGTTTTGTTTTGTTTTTTTGCTGCCCTTTCGCCATAAAGGGGCAGTTACAGCAATTTACAATCTGGTTGCTTTAACCAGTTTTACCTGTGGTTAACTTCCACCTCTGATGAAGCAAAATTCACTTTCCTTGTGGGCAGCAGCCTAAATGGAGCTAATCCACAGATTGTATTTAAAAGACAGATGTCGCCATATCTAAGGCTAAGTGATTTAAACCGGCATTCTTTCTAATAGCCAGCAGGGGGCGACAGAAAGAAATCCAACTGTGTAGAAATCAATGAGGAAATGACCCGACTTCTTACTTAATTTTTCCCCTCATTGAATTCTTTTTGAATGATTTTATGGTGTTAGCTGTTAGCTTCACGCCTCCTTCAACGCAGCGTGACGTTCATTCTGTAAATTGTGAACTCACTTACAGTAAAATAGAGATTAAAGCAGGGTTTACTTTAGGGCGAGTCTACGAGGTGTGTCAGAGAAGTTCCAGGACTGGTGTCACAAGAGATATATTTCAAACTACAAATTACCAGTTTTCCCCCTCAGACGATCAACAAAGAGATCATTCAGAAGAGGTGAGAGTTGTGTCAGGACCAGTCATGGCTGCTTCACCTTCTGACAGTTCCTGGCTGAGAAGAACATCTCCTGAAACTTTTCTGACACATCTTGTGATTCAACAGTCGGTACCATGTGGGTTTGCATAGTGTCTTAGAGTTCTCAGGCGGCCTCAGTCTTTGCTTGTCGTTCTGGTAGATTAATCATAGCAACTGGACTCGCTTGAGTTCCTTGAAGACGTTCCACCTCATCCAAGAGGTCTTCAAGGAACTCAAGCAAGTCCAGTTGCTACGATTAATCTACGAGAATGATCGTGACCTGAATGAATCTTCACAGACATCTTCTTTGCTTCAAAAGTCTAACAAAACTCCAAACTCAAGGCTTCAAACCAGTGGGTGCCTTCACAGTGGCCGTGTGCAACCTTCATGCCCTCGTATCAAATAAACCGATTTGTAATTTTAAGTCCTACTTGACCGTTGTTGTGCTCTTCTGTCTCTTAACACCCTGATTCGTTTGCTTTCAGGACCACTGGTTTTGGCGGGTGAGAGATAACTCGGTGATGCCGGGATACCCGATGCTCATCAGCGTCTTCTGGAGGGGCCTCCCACCCAAGATCGACGCCGTCTACGAGAACAGCGAGGGGAAGTTCGTCTTCTTCAAAGGTACGGCCGCGCTCTCCGCCGCCATCGCCGCTGTTGTCATCATGTTGAGCCGTTTTCCATTTGAGGCAAGCGTCGTAAAGCTTTGATTTATTCTGTCCCCGCAGTTTTTGAAGCCCAATCAAAACACTGTGTGCACTTGTGGTTTACATTAGCGCCGTGTCGTTATTACCCGATGTATTATTCATCCGCAAGACTCCCTAGATGTGTTTTGTTTACATCGATTCCCCGTCGTCTCCTTTATATAAGCTGTGTGCTCATGTCTTTTTAATGCTCTGCATGTGTTTAGAGGGAAAACGAGGGTTTTTATCTCCAGTAAATGCTATATGTTATCACGCTCACTCAAACTACTGCCTTGATCTTATCTGTGTACGAGTTCCGTGTAAATCCGGGGAAGATTAAAGCGGTGTTTTGCTCGGTTCGAGAGAAAAAAATCCACCGTAATCCACCAATTTTGACTTTTAATAATACATGTGCTGTTGGTGCTAGTGATGTATTTTAGTATAAACCTTCAACTGTAGCTTTACATAATTAGCACACACAGCTCCTAGAAATCACAATCACAGCGCTCGCCAAAGAGCGCCGCTGCTTCCTGTCTGATGGCTCCCCGATTTAGACTCTCGCACCTTTCTGAATAGATTTGTGTACATGTTTAAATCTAGACTGAGCTCGCCCCAAAACACAGAGCTTTAAAGCTAATTATGTCTAAAGCTGAAAAGCCACTTAAAAGAAACAGCAAAGAAACACGGCAGTATTTGCTCTGGAGAGGAAGAGACGGAGGGAGGGAGGGCGAGAGGCAGGCGGAGAGAGAAGAGTTGTTGACAAAAGAAGATGTAGGTAAGCATTGGAAGTCTGCTGGGATGAAAACTACAAATCTTCTCTCGAACCCCGTTTCTATTTTCAACACCAGACAATTCCTGGAAACGCAGACGGCTGGTCCCGTGCGCGCCGCAAACTCTGCAAGTTTGATTTCCTCCAAGCCCGCCGTCTATCCGGGCCGCATAGATTTAGAAAATTTATACTAACAGAATGCCATTTTTCATTTGAACACGCACAGCTGATTTCCCAGAAGGCCCTTGTTCTGTCTGTCCCCGTTTTGGAAGGGAAAAAAAAAAATTAGGAAGAAAGTCGGTCAGAAAACAAAACGCAGCACTCCGGGTCCTCGTCTAACCAGCCGGTTTGAATATCCCCTAATAGCTCCTGGTCTGATGAATTCTCCTAAAATAAATGCACAGTTTGGGGACTTCAGAGTCTGGAGAAGCCACGACGGAGACGCTGATTAACTGAGAGCTTTAAAGGCATCACAGAGCAGGTCAGACACCACTGGTACACATCAGATCACCAGTCTTTAGTCGTTTCCCTGTTTCCATTCTTTACTGAGACATCTGAAATGTACATGCAACAGTTGAGCCGAGCGTCGCCACAGAATCATCGTTCACGGCTCAGCATCAGCAGATCAGCAGTAATTTATATATAGAGCTGTTTATTTAGCCTAAATTGCAGGTGAGAGGCTGCATTATAAATCGAATCGAATTAAAGCGATGCTTTTTTTTCGCAGGGCTCCGCGCAGAAACCATGCATATGCAGCAACACCTATACATCAGCGTGCGTTTTCCTCCCGGGAGGCAGAATCCAATCAGAGCTTGATTGGGCCTCTTGTGTCAGAGGACAGACAGAGCTGCTTGCTTCATTTATATCACGCTGACATGTCTGAGAGTGGGTTATTTTAGATTAAAGGGAGAGCAATGCATCAGCTGGGGCCAATATGTCTGCCAATATTAGCTCAAGGCCCATATAGCGGTATTGGCATGTACTCTGGCTGTACGTTACCGTTTGAAATACTTAATTCTGGAGACAGTTTCATCAGCTGAGGCCTGCAAGTGACCGCTAATGCTAACACGAAAGCTCAGCGGGTTTCCTGAAACTGAGTCTGCAGTTTAATATTGTTTCCACTGTTACTGAGGGAGTCTTTGGGTGCATTTGGTAGCTAAATACAGCGTTATTGGTGTGTTACAGGCCGGAGGTAATTAACAGTCCTATTATCATGCAATATTATGAATAATAATGGAACTAAAATGCTCTTAATTCTGACCCAATATAGAGAACGGGGTGTTACGACGATTAACGGGTGAGTTTGTAAAGTGTCCCAGAGCAAATAAAGTTCAGGGCACAGCTGCTAATGTTAGCCTAAACTTTAATATCTGTGCATTTTGTCATTAAAAGGCTCCTAAACAGTTGTTAAAGTCATTAATGATGTGATCCTGGCCTAGGAGATGAAACGGGACTACCACTGAAAATATTAATCTAGTTAAATGGACCTGCTAAAATATAAAATAGACGTATCACACACAGTTTAACTCGGCCTTTACTTTGTAAACAAAACTTTGCTTTCATTAGATAGTTGCTGTTGAGATTGGCTGACATCAGAAGGTGGCGAGCTCCGATCAGAGCGCCGTGAGCTCAGTCTGAACATGTGGAGAAAGTCTGACGGACTGAAAACTTTCATAAACTGTGCGGTTCAGGTCAGAGGACGTAGAAAAACCCTGTCATGGTTTGTTGTGTTGTGCAGATTCTTTGACACACTCTCGATGATTTCGAGCAAACTGTCGAGAAATTTTTTCACCACAGAGCCGCGACGGGCGTGCACAGACGTGACGAGTCGAGCACGCACACGTGTGTTTGGTTTCCCTGTACGATGCGTGTGCTGGTGTGTGGCCTGTGTCGGGAGGAGGCGTCTCTTTTATGGAACAAATCTTCATCCTATATAACACTCTTCATACACTGTTGAGGGCAAGCAGGGGATTAGTCGCTGCAGTGCAGCAGATGCTGGAGCTGCCACTACATCAAAGCAGCCCTCACAGCTCTGAAGATGAAGCTCGACTTTTATGTGCAGGGCGATGCAAGTCGACTCCAATTTAAACAGAAAGAGAGAACGGAGAATCCTATTTTATGTAAGATAAAAAGAGAGAGAAGGGCTGGTTTTGGGTTGTGCTTTTTTTTTTATGAATCAACTTGAGCTCGTTCTTGTTGGCGATGGGAGACGATTAATCTCAGGGTGTGTGTGTGTGTGTGTGTGTGTGTGTGCGTGTGTGTGTGTGTGTGTGTGTGTGTGCGTCAAGGCCAGAGGAAACGTGACCCACACTGAGTGCAGCGCTGTCAGAGAAAGACGTGAAATGACAGGAATTTCCTCTCCAAAAAGAGGCCACTACAGGTCTCTCCTTCCCACTTAACGTTCCACCAACAGCCCGTCCTACCGTTCCTTCCTGCGCTCCGTCCACGGCGCTCCGTGTGGTTTACTTCTTTAAGGTTAGGTGTCACATGGCGTGGCCTTTATAAAGCAAGGAGGCGAGCGCAAATATTGCTGGGGATCTCGTCTGCTTTATTTCACACCCATTTCCTGTGTTTGTTAAAGAAAAGCGCTCGGGTCATCTTAACGCTGACACTGCGAAAGCTCCACACGGCGTTCGAGCCTCGCCGGTGTTTAGTCAGACGCCCGGGAGGAGTCGGGATCCGGCTCTTTAAACACAGCTTGTTAATCAGCTTCTGCAAACATGGCTCCGATATTTTACATTTAAATGTTTGATTCTGTTTTCTTTGGGGAAGAAGTGTTCTCAAATATTAATCAAACCGCAAAGAATAAAAGTCTTTGTAGGAAACAGGTACGTTAACGTATTCGTGAGAATCCAGCGTATTGTATATTTATCCGCCGCTTCGTTGCTGTTTCTCTTCCTTTCGTGTTTTCTTTCTCCGGCTGAGGGAAAAGAGACACTCATTTGTTTTCGTCAGTCCTGAGATTATTGAAAGACTCTGTAAAAATGTCCGTCTAATTTGGAGATATTATCATATTTATAGTCTTTGTGATGAGTTTTATTTTCTCTTGCATAAAATAGTGAACATTCGTAGCCTCAGGCCTCATTCCAGCGATTAATCAAATGAAAAGGGAATTTAAAAAAAAAAAAAAAAACCTTCTGCCTTCGTCATTCCACTTTTCTTTGGTAACACACACCTCCCCCGCACACACACTTCCTCCTGGCCCAGCCTACACCTCCGCTGGTGATGAAGAAACGCACTTCCTGAGGTCACGCTGTGTCAGAAATGTGCAGTTTAACCTAATTACACCACAGGAAAGGAGAGAAAAGAGGAGCGCATGGAAAAACTCACACGGTTTTTAATATCTCTAAAAATAACCCCCAATCCAGGTGATTTCTTCGCTTCGTGTTCCTGGGAAACTTCCTCAAAAGGCTTTAATTTAAACTGTTTGGTCGGCAGTTTTCCCACAAGGGTCGCTGCTGTTTGTTGTTTATCTCAGCTAAGCAGTCGCCGGCTCACTTCGCCAGCGCCTCAAAGTTCCTTCTAGTACCTCTAAGCAAGGGCAAGGAGAACTTGTCACCATGTTTGTGTCCTATTTTAAATTAAGGAAACATCAACATCAAATGCAGTAATACAAGGCAACAGGTTATTGCCCGCCGTTCGTTACAAGGCCCGTATCTGTCCTTCACGTATGTCTCGCTCCTGGAGGGTAATCCCTGCTGTTCCTCGTCCTTGTTCTCCTAATTTATTTCCCCCACCCTCTCCTCCTTGATGCACAGGGAAGCAGTTCTGGGTGTTTAAGGACACGGTGCTGCAGCCCGGATACCCCAAGGACATCACCCAGTTCGGCCACGGCATGCCGGCCCAGAGCATCGAGACGGCCGTGTGGTGGGAGGACGTGGCCAAGACCTACTTCTTTAAGGAGGACAGGTGAGCGGAGGAGGAGGAGCATTGTTGTAGATTTAGACAAGACTACCTTAAAAAAATCTAATTAGTAATAAATTAGCAGCCCCACGTCGCACCTACCTTAAGGACACATGATCATGCAGATTTATTCTAATATAGCAACTACAGTCGTGACTCCATAATCGACCCTTAACAATCCTAAACCTGCTATCACACAGGTTTTTAGGAAAAACCAACAGAACCCATAAAAACAGCCTTAACATAGCGACAGCCTTGGATTGTGACTCCGACATGACTTTTAATGTCGCCAATCAGGATGACGGCGTATTATCTGACTGAACAATCCCACAGATTGGCTACGTTCACACTGCAGGACTTGATGCTCAATGAGGATTTCTTTGTGACTTCCTTCACGTTTCCAGTTCAATGCGACTTGTATGTGATCTGCTGTGTGAACTTCATACGAGCCAAAAGTGTCCCGCATGCGCAGAAGAGGACACGACGACGTCACACGCAGCGAGCGTGCTCAGTGTTTATGGAAGTAAACATGGATGGTAACGGTGGAGCGTATCTGCCACTCCCCCGCCGCCACCGATGGAGGAAACAGAAGTGTGAGCGCTAACTAAACTAGCATCAGCAGCCAAGTACTGCCTGTGTGTTCTGGACACTTCCACCCCGTCAGAGTGCTGCCCCGGGGTGGAAGTGTCCCCCGACCGCACCGAATATTCAGATATTCATCATTAATTGGGCCTGAATATCCAGAGAGCAGAAAGTTCTATTGGGACCAGCCCTACTAGTTATTATAACAACTATGAACAATAATGAACAACTAATGAACCTTCCAGCATCAAGCCCTCCTTGGATCTCGACCTCCGTCTTGACAATCCGACATGAAAGTAGGTTTTACATTTAGTGTTGGGTTATTGAGTCATGACTTTTTCTATTAACATGATGCTTCCTCTCTGGCAAAGGCTTATCGAGTACTGAGTAGATTTCATTTGGTGTTTCAGTGATGGTACTAAAGAACATTGTGTGACACGTTGCTGTCACAATCTGGATCTGGAGCATTATCGCACTGGAGCCACTATCATTAAAGTTTTGCTTCCATTTGTCATCTATCCCCACGTCACTAGTGTGGAAAAACGGTTTCAGAGTAAATGTTATAACTTTAAAGAGTTCACATTATGCACATTTACACGTCAGGAATTTAATTTTTGGGGCTTCACTTGAGCTTTATTTTGCTCAATATTGTTCACTGCTGCAGCACCTCCGTCTGAAACGTTTTAGCTCCTGTCTCTTTAAGCTCCAAGAAGCCCAGTGAGCTCTGATTGGACAGCTGGCCCGACACAGCGAGCCAGCACTGGCGAGTATAGGGATGTAGCCCGAGCAGAACTGGCTCTAGCGAGGAAATAATAGGGACTAGAACCGCAAGACAGCTGCTCGTTCTTCGTTTGAGGTCGCGCCAAACTAGCCGCCAAGCAGACGTTCGGCATATGTGTTAAATGGTGACGTTAATGGGGAACGGAAGGAAGGCAGGTATGGAGCAGGGATTTGTGTGGGCTTGAACTTCAGGCTTTCTAAGTTTGCAGGAAACACACTGAAGGAAAGAAAAACCCCCAAAAGCAAAACATGGGCGCTCTAAATCAATAAGTGATGGCATGACGGGGCTTTCTTGTTGCCCAGTGGCTCTGACCGATATTATTCAGCTTCATTCAAATACATTCATCTAGAGGAAGCCCTAAACCTGACATGTGGTGCTACGATACCAAGTCTGAACATAAACTACCATCTGTTGTCAGTTTCGACCCCGTTTCCTCCAGCGTTCGTAGACATACAGTACCAGCTTTGTCTTCCTGTGGCTCATCATTTGTTCCTGTTTAGGTACTGGCGCTACAATGAGGACATGAGAACCATGGATCCTGGATATCCTAAGCCCATCACAGTGTGGAGAGGTGTGCCTGACTCGCCACAGGGGGCCTTCGTCGACAAAGCCAATGGTACGATTTGTCCTGCCCAATACTCGGATTTGGCAATAACAGCACAGTTCATGTGCCAGGCAGCATTGATTTCAGCTGGTCACTGGCACACACAGTGTGGGAGGTAAACCAGGCTAGCATTGATTGAAATTTGCCCCAGTTATTACACCGAGTCTTGGTGGGTGGCACGCTTCCATACATGCAGTATCAAGGGAACCAGGCATGTGTTTGCATATTGCAAAGGCAAGATGAAAACAGGTCAGTTTATCCAGAAATGCCTTTCTTGTTTTTGAATTGTTTCACAAGCGAAATATTCCATAATCAGTTCATCCTGCTCAGTGTGCCATAAGACCCAGTTGGAGCAGGACTGTGGAAAGCAGAAAGGACAAGACCACCGCTGGGCGCTCATTCCGGTTTAAGCCAAGTGGCCCTTGCCAAGGGTGGGGAGGCGGGATTCATAACTCTCAGAAAGCTCACCCATAGGCCGCTGAGGCAGACGGCAGAGAAGAAAGCTTTCCCCATTGGCTGCGTTATGCCAGGTGGGTTTGGGTCTGGTCTTGGCAGCGGCTCGGTTGGAAAAAGAAGAGCAGGTGGCGTCGAACGCTCGGGCCATCTGCGCCGAGGATCTGCTGCCAGATCCGTAGCCGGGCGTGTCTGCCGGTGAGGCCAGGTGGAGCGGGCATCAATCAGAGCATGAAGGGTGGATTGATGTCCAGGAGGATGCGTGCACGTCTCACTGCTCGTATATGTGTCGCCGGCGTGCATTTATTTGGCCGGCTGGCTGTTTGCACAGACAGTGTGTCAAGTGGCACGCTCATAACATTGACCCAGATAAGCAGGCATAATTGAGTGCGCCGCTGCAGCCGATGGGAGTGTGTGTGAGGCAGCACGTTTCAGAGCCGGGGCCCCAGGGCGACGCTGACCTGGCTCTCACCCACCATACCTCCGCCTGGCTCTCCTCTCAGCCTCCCCCCGCCTCCCGCTCCCTTTCCCAACAGTCATTCTTGTCACCACACTGTATGTTTGCTTTCTATCTGTTGCTTCATCTGGATCTTGCTGCCGCTAAAAAAAAATAAAAAAGCCTTTTTGCTTAATTTGTGTTAAATGTAGGAGAAAAGTATTGCAGAAGCGGCTGCCAGGTTGGAAAGAATAAAACTCCAGCAGTGGTTATAATTCTTCAGCTAATCACAATACTCAGCTGAAGCCTAAATGAGAATTTAAAGGGCGTTGTGTGTAGGTTGGCTCGTGTTGGACTGCGTACACAACCACATGTTGCTCAGGCTGCAAGTGGTCAGGTTGGGAGGACCAAGCTGAGCCTCCTCATGGAACACAATACGAGTCCGAGTCTTTTATAAGCCGTACGAGATTCAGCGTTTTCAAAAAAATACACGGGTTAGAAAACACTGATCCTATGTGTGTGCATGAAGCTGGAGCTGGGAGGCCTGGCTCGCTGTAAACATGTGCCTCCAGGATCACTAATTAGCAGCCTGTGTTACATTTGTTTAATCCGTACACAAACAGAAGCGTAAAAAAAAAAACACAACTACGATTTGTGGTTTCAGAGTGTTGTGCGGAGCAGCTAGTCTGACGACGAGGCTCTGGGAAGCCACTGCTGCCGGCTCACGCTTGCCAACAAATACTGAAAGCACATAAATCCTTGTAAATGATACAACACGAGGAATACAACATGTGAATCATTAAGGTTTACAAGTTCCAGTAAGCAAACGTCTCCGACTTCGCCAAGCTAGCTTTCCCCCTGATTGCTGGCGTTATGCTAAACTAATTATTTGGCTAAGCTAATGGCTACCTGGTATCAATCTTTGACTCTCAGTATGAAAGCAACAAAAAAAAAAACAAACGTGTAATTTTCCAAAATACACTGGGAGCTGGACTCAGGGCACCAGCTTGTCTGTTACTCTGAGTTTCTATGCAGGGATGAAAGACGTAGTTTATGTTGTGTGGCCAGAAGTTAGCGTGTTCTCATGTCAGCTTGATTTTTTTATCGCCAACCAGAGACATAGAAAGGCAGAGCTGCTAAAGTTCACTTCGACCAGTAAAGTGTTCAGTCACACCCGATAGGTTTTTGGTAGCTTGAGACAAAAAATGATCACATGCTGGAGCCCTGATTGTAATCTACCGTAAATTCCGGACTATGAGCGCACCTGAATATAAGATTTTTTAAACTTTTAATTAAACACGTACCGGTAACGTACACAAATGCTTTTTTCTGAACAGCGCCTGTAACACGGCTGCTTAAGGAAATAAAAACTAAAGTCATTGATCACTATCTTCATCTTCCTCCTGCACTAAAACCACTAAAGTCTTCAGTGTGGGACTTGAACAACCTCAGAATTCCTTCGTCACTTCCTCAGTCTATCTGTCATCGTCTCAATGTCGCTTTGGTCTTGAGGCAAGTTTGTAAACATCCATTTAAAAAAAATTAGCAGCTTATAGTCCAGGATTTACGGTACGTTGAATGTCTCTGAGATTTCCTGCTGCCCGTGTATTAGGTGTAATACGTCAGTCATATAACGCCCCGGGCATCAAACCCACTGATCAGGTGAGTGAACCTCCAGCTACGTCTCTGTTTTTTAAGCTGCCAGGTTTCCGACAACCTCATTGGAGAAGGCGTACAAAGGCTCCACACAGGCTCCAGTCATTTGTTAGCCGCTCTTCCTTTGTGGATGCCCTCAATGCCGTTTCATTATTTCATCTCCTTCCAAGATGAATCTTTTAAAACTTCACCCCGTGCGTCTTTGCTTCCCCACCAGAAACATCTCCGGCTAACAAGTGATTTAAAAAGCCCTGGCCCTCCTTCGCTGGAAATTTAGAGCATTCCTTCCCTCATCTTCCCAGAGAAGGGTGTACATGAATAATAAATCGCCAGACACAAAGTGTAAAAGGGGGCCAGCGAGGAGGAGGATGATGAGGAGGAGAGCTGGAGAGCTCAGCCAGGCTGTCAGGCTCACTTCTACACAGCATATACTTTCCCAACCAGCGTTTCAGGGACAGTAACTTGCAGGAGACGGGAGCGTTTAGTGTCAAATAGCAGCAACCTTTTCACGGCGCGGTGTTATCACGCGACGGCAAAGAATGTCGTTGTCACAAGATATGTTGGGATTGGCGCGAATTTGTTTGAGAAATGTTTGTCTCGCCATTTTAATTGCAAAGCGGGTTCCCAGAAGGAATGAAGGGCGGCTGGCTGCGGTGCTTCTGGTAATTTGGGCGACAAAGAGACACGTTCCTGTCAGAAAACAAGCGTCACTCTGGTGGTTTGAAGAGCAGCTTGTGTCTCCATGACATTTGCTGTTGTGCGACTCTGGCTGTGGGGTCTGGCTCCTGCTCGGCCCTCTTTCCTCTTTTATGACCGACATAATTAGTCCTGAGGGACGGTCGGAGACATGTTGGAACACTGAAACGGAAACAATGCATCAGCAGCAGCGCCGCGCTGATTCTGAGAGAGTCTGAGGTGCGCTTGTTTTTGCTACCTTACTGGCCGGTCGTCACCACTGAGACTCAGGTTGAGTCGATGTTAAGAGGAAAACACGTTTTATTGGAGAGTTTCATTAAAAAGAAAACGTTCCTCCTGAACTGAGAGTGAAGCAGAAGCACAGACAGATGAAGGCATTCAGCTGCTGTTTGGCGTCATGAGGAGCTCGTTGGAATGATGATGTTAGAATATGTTTATATGTGAATGCATCAGTGAGAGACTGACAGGACGGTGACGAGGCCACTGAGCTGCATGTTTCTACGATGACATACATCTTGCTAAAAAAAAAAAAAAGAAAATGCTTTTCACTTAAGGCAGGTTGTAGTGTTGTTGTTGTATTATTTATTATGTAGCAGCAGTGTTATTGCTTTTCTTGTACTCATTTAACTGGTAACGTCTCTTGACTCTAAGTGTCTTTGTTGGATGACTTGTTCCACGACAGCTGAGCCCTGTTCAGGACTTTTGGGGTCTTTTGGACTTCAGGCCGTTTGGTTTAGGTGACAGGTTTTGGTTTTTTAGTTTTGAAGATTTTCAAATTTGCATTTGGAACCAAAAATACGTCAACATATCAGAAAATGTGTTTAACAGAGTATAAAAAATGAATACCAACAAATAGTTTGCACATATTCTTTCTTGGGGCTGCACGGTGGATCGGTGGTTAGCATTGTTGCCTCTTAGCTAGAAGGTTTGTGTCCCGGTGAGGACACCCGGGATCTTTCTGCGTGGAGTCTCCATGTTCTCCCCGTGCAGCGTGGGTTCTCTCCGGGTTCTCCGGCTTCCTCCCACAGTCCAGAAACATGTTGAGGTTAACTGGTGATTCTAAATTGTCCGTAGGTGTGAATGTGAGTGTGCTTGGTTGTCTGTCTCTAAGTGTAGCCCTGTGATAGACTGGTTACCTGTCCAGGTGAACCTGCCTTCACCCTGAGTCAGCTGGGATAGACTCCAGCCCCCCATGACCCTGGTGAGGATTAAGGTGTAGAGATGATGGATGGATGGATACTTTCTTGGGCTCCAATGGACCCTGAACAACGCTCTACGTCTGGCACCATGAAAGTCCTGAACAGGATTAATGCTCATTGTTTTGTATTTTGAAGAGCAGCATTGCAACAAACGAAAATATGACTTCAGTTGTTTGTGATGTTTCATTTCTGAGTCTGAACCAGTTCATCACTTTTCAACAGAGTAAAACCAGAACCAGCTGTGAGGCTCTATGACTGGACCACACCGCTAAGAGCTCAGTGACTGGACACTTAAACCAGTGTTAAGTCTTTAACTCTTTAAATCTTTTCCGTGTTGCGCTGACAGTTTGTTTCTTTGTTCCTCCCTCCAGGTTTTACCTACTTCTACAAGGGGAAGGAGTACTGGAAGTTCAACAACCAGTTCCTGCGAGTGGAGCCGGGCTACCCGCGCTCCATCCTCAAGGACTTCATGGGCTGCGAGCTGACCCCCATCGACCCCGGCCGCCCGCCGGCCGACGACGGCAACACGGACGTGGTGATCGAGCTGGACAACGAGGCCAACACGGTGAAGGCCATCGCCATCGTCATCCCCTGCGTGCTGGCGCTGTGCCTCCTGGTGCTGGTCTACACCGTGGTGCAGTTCAAGAGGAAGGGTACGCCACGCCACATACTGTACTGCAAACGCTCCATGCAGGAATGGGTCTGAAGCGCTGGAACGAGACCGGAGGGCGGGGCGAGGGTGGGAGGAGAGGCTGCTGACAAACAGGACGGCCGCCGGCTTTCACAGGGAGGAGGAGGAGGACGGCGGACTGGGGACAGCTTTACTCTAAACACAGCCACGCCTCCTCCTCTGGGCCGACCCGAGACCTTCGCTCAGACCCGCACAGACAGTCTGACGGCGATCCCTCACGCTGAAGGCGATCCAGGACTCAGAGCTGACTCCGCTAGCCCCCAGCCTTTTTAACAAACAGGGGGGTAGAGGGGCAGTTTGTGGGGGGAGGGAGGGGTCTTTGTCAGGAATGACCTTCAGTCCCAATCCAAAAAAAACAAAACAACAACAACAACAAAAAAACGAGGGTCAGCATCACTTTGTATCGCAGAAACTTGACTTCCTGTCCCCCTTCTTCTTCTTCTTCTACTTCTTCTTCTTCTTCTTCTTCTTCGGTTTCTCCGCCTGACTGCTTTTAACGAGGGGAGGACGTTCAGGGGGACGAGCTGCATCGCCATCCGTCATATCAGGTTGTTGGTCCAACAACACTTTTCTATTGACTGGTGTGGGTGCCCCCCCTCCCCGCTTCATTGTGCGCTCAAAAAAACAGTCTTAGAAAAAAGTTAATCACATTACCCATCATCTTTTATTGTTTTTTTTTTCTTTCAAATTTTTTCTTTTAATTTGAATTTCTTTGAGAAAGGAGGTCCTCACTGTTCCCTTTAAGACACTCCTGAGGAAGAGACCAAACGAAACCAAATAAAATCAATTTCTCTCCAAAGAGGATCACGTTTTTAAACTTTTTTTTTTGTTGGGTTCTCATTTCCGTTTCACTCTTCTTTCCCTTCTCTGGATCCGTGCAGCGATTAAGAGTCTGGGAGCTCCGACTGTTGTGGCAGTCTGTTTGAGACACAGGGGCCAAATTATTCTGCAATATTTTAACTCGCCTTAATTATAGATCATTACTACTTGTGCTTGGTTTTTGCTGTTCTTGGTGTTGTTTATTTTTTTGTTTGTTTGTTTGTTTTTTTTATTCGTATACCGCTTTTGTTTTCGTTTGTTTGTAACAGGAGCTAATTAAGCGCTTCTCGTGATTGGTATTTTCTGGATTTTATTACCCAGAACCCTCGGCACTGGCTTGCTGAGCCGTTCTGGACAGAATACGCAGCAGAGGTGGGCCTGTACTGAGAGTCATGTGTTGTATCGTGTAGAGAAGGTTCTGGAGTAAAGCCACTATTTTTGTGTGTTAAGATATTTGTTACTGTTCCTTATTTCCATTCGACAGAAACGAGGCCACAGAGAGCTGGAGGGCCTCGTTATGGGATTTGTTCTCGGTCTGTACCCCCCTCAGTTTGAAGAACAGCTAAAGTGTGCATTCAAAACGGTGGCGTGGTTATCGGAGACCGGACAGACCTTTTTGTTTTTATTGTGTTTTTTTAAAAAGAAATTCTGTTGACTGCCTTGTTTGAGAGAGCTCACAGTTCCCAGAATGCTCTTGTCTCGTGACTGAGGACCCACAAAGTGAGACACCAAGTCAGGATCAGTGCCTGTGTCCACGTGCATGCAAGCATTTACTGTACATCCACCTGGTTCTGCTCAACATGGCTCTGGAGCCTCCCTCAGAAGCTGAGGAGGACGTTTTCTCTTAAAAAAAAAAATACTGTTTTGCATTTATTTTTGTACCTTTTAAATGTTCCCCCAGCCGCCTTCCTCCAGGTACAACGAAATCTAAGAGATAAAAAAAAAAAAAACAATCTATGTGGTACATTTGGGAAATTACTGGGAGATCTGATGGCGATTGGATTCTTCAAATTGGCCTCGACGAACCGTGTCGTGTCCTCGCCGTGGTGGCGAGCGGTCTTTGAATGTGTGTTTGTTTTCATGATCACATACTGGGTTTTTACTTTTTCTTTCTTTCCTGTTTTCTGGTCAAAACAAATTGGACATCTCACAATGACTTCTTTGTGTAAGACTTTGGGACGCCAGAAAAACCATGTCCTGACTGAATGAATAAACTGATCAATACATGATGAAGAGCTGCCTTCCAACTCTCTGCTCGTCTTTTAACTTGCATGTTTGTTCGGCGCAGGTCGTGTGTCGTGTGTCCAACTTTTGCTGATCTGTTTGTCGGCTGCTGTCCGGCCAGTCGAGGCTGCATGTTGGTTCGCTTGAAACAACAGCAAACGCTAAACTTCCAGAGTTTATGTCAGATGGCGTCAATGTAAAGCAACTGGCACCATAAAGGTTGACCAAAGTTGACACCCGAAGATGCAAAGGAAGGTTTCCAACACACCTGATTCAAATGATCAGCTCATCATCAAGCTCTGCAGAAGCCTGATAACGATCCTGATCATGTGAATCAGGTGTGTTGGAAGAGGGACACATCTAAAACATGCTGGATAGGGGCTCTCGAGGACCAGGATTGGGCACCCCTGCTCCAACCCAAACAGTAGCTTAACGTTAGCTTAAACAGCTAGCCTAGCTCTGTCCAGATCTTGGTAAAACTGAGCAAAGTGTCAACATTCGTCACAACAAAACCCCAGATTCTCATGTTTACATTTGTGTGGGTTAAACAAACAAAAACAAAGCGTTTTAATTGGTGACTTTTAGAGACACTGAAAATCCAAACAAACTTCGTTGGCATGGACTTTAGCAGAATACGAAATTTCTGTCACATGGATCCTCACGTACTTATATACTGATTATACTCTTTTGCAGACGTGGACACCACAGACGCATTGTTGCTCTTATTGAACTACTTTCTAGTCCGGTCGGAGTCCACTAGGAGGACTCAGTTGATCAGTGCCTACGTATTGCAGCAAACTCTACATAAACACACATTTCGGACTTCCTGTACAACACCGGCCTGACTAACCCGGCGACAAAACTAACAAACATTTAATTTTTCCCCCCGAACACCAAATTGTTCCTGTAGATGAATGTTGACTGGAGCTAGCGTGGCCGTCCCACACACACCGCTGACCTACAGTAAATCAGGCTCGAGCCTCGACGTACTCTGAACTCCGCAGATCAACTCGGCCGGCAGCGGGGAGCAAAAATAAAAAGCGGCGTTTGATTCGGAGAAATGTGTGTTGATGTGGGTTCTGAGAGCTCAGCAGTCCTCTGGTATTGTGTGCGGCTGCTGCTGCTGCTGCTGTATTTTTGGGGTGGTATGATAAAAAAAAGAAAAAAAAAGAAAAAGAAAAAACAGCTCTTTAGATGTACGATCCCAGAGGTGCAGCGCTGGCATTTACTGCGGATTGAATGTGAAACAGGAGCCTCACAGGGCCAGATAGTGTTTATTTTAGCTTTGCTGGGACACATTTGACATACAGTTGCTGACAACAAAGTGGGTGAGGTCAAACCAGTTTACTGAACTGCGGTCACTGACTCCTTGTGTGTGTGTGTGTGTGTGTGTGTGTGTGATGAAATTACACTCTTAGGAATAACACTTCATTGGTTCTCATCATAGGACTGTTCAGTGGTGAAATTGCCTCTCTGCTTTCAGACAAAGGCATTATGTGCTCAGCTATGTTTAGATTGGTGCTTTTTCTGGAGGCTTTTTACTCATTGTCTGTTCTTCCTCCGTCGCTGTAAATACAGACTTGTGTCCATGCGCCTCCCTCACACGTCCCGGGGCTTTTATTTACCTCCCTCCAATACGAGCGGCGTAGTTTGTTAGACGAACTCTTTCTCTGACTCGATCCACAGCAGCTGAGGAAAAGTGCTGTTGTAGAAGTTCTGAGTCGGTCCCAGAGCCCCACTTTGCTGTGTCCATCAGGGTGTGTCCGTCTCATCGTCTGCTTTCTAGTATGTAGATCTGTGTGTGTGTGCGTTCGAGTGCATGTCAGCCTCACAAGCGGAGCTCGGACCAAACCCCGTGGGCCCGCCAGCCTCTCCTGCGCCTGCCAGGCTAAAACATTGGTGCTAAACTGACCTACACTGGCGAGGGCTGTTTTTCCACAGTGCTATTTTTGTCAGCACTCCTCCTCCTCCTCCTCCTCCTGCTGCTGTCATTGGCTCAAAACTTGAATGATTACAACAGGAACCAAAGTCATACATTTTCATTTAACCCGAGTCCTTTACGGTGCTCTTCTTAATGGCCCCCTCTTAGGTTAAGGACCGTATATATCCTAGCGGTGGTTATTAGCGCGGCACAGTGGAGCGGCTGAAGGTCGGCAGGGGTCGGATGAAAAGGGTTAAAACGTTTAGCGGTGGTTTACTGTCTCGGCGGATCACGTGTGCCGCCGTTGTACCATCAACATCTTCTCTTGCCATTTTCTGTTACGTGCTTGTCGGATCATGATGTGACATGTATTGTGTTGACTGTGTGGCGCCTCCTCGGCTCTCAGCTCACTCATTGTCAAAATTGACTGTTCGCTAAAACTCTCCCTGAATCGTGTAAGCGGGCCGGTCAGCCGACCGAGGGGCTGCTCCGTCGCAGGAAAAACCAAAAGCAGCTAAAGTTCAAGTGATGGATTAGAAAGTCTTTGTCTGCCCTGAGCTGTGATCATTAGCATGTCCTGCTAATTAGTTTATTAATCAAGAGTAACTTCCAGAGCCAGAGAGGACGTCGTTCACTAAGTAGGCGACATCATTTTACGATTGAAGGTTACATACAAAAATAAAATCCACGTAGCGTAGCTTCACTTTGTCTCAGTGATTCAGGTGTTCGACGCAAAGAAATGTTTAGGGATGAACTGGAACAACGTCTTTCACAGTTCAGGTTCAGTAGAACATGGAGCAATACTGTGACAAACTGAGCACCAGTAATTCATAGAACAGAAATAAATGGGTGTATTGTGCCTTTGCACAGTTAGCATGTCAGGAAACAACAAGATCACAGTGATCCAGTAGAAGGCAACTGGACTTTTTACCCTCACAACACCCAACACAAGCTCAGAAATGTTGTACATGCAGTTCAGTGCAGCAGGGAGTGGACAGACTCGTACGTAGAGGAGATTTAACAACCGCTTCTAGAAGATAAGAGACTCCTTTGGGGACAACAGTGTTTACATCCCGGCCAGAGAAGACAGGTAGTCTGGGAGGAGTGAAGGAAGACGTTAAACTGGAGCAGCCATCTTTAAACAGAGCTCTGCAGCACCACCTATCAGATACTTAGGATGCAGTCTTTAGATCGCTCCCCATCAACACCTGAAGTCAGGCCTCACCTGGCAGTTCAACAACCCTCCACACCTTGTTGTTAACAGACCATGAGCCATGTGATTTAGGGTAAACACAGTTAGACCCGAGGAAGCCTCTTGGAGGAGATATGACGTCCTTGAGAGGAGTCCAGTTGCCTTCAGCTGAAGCGCTAACACAGCTAGCGTGTGTTAAACTAGCTGAATTAGTTTTAAGTTATGCTTTAGACAATTTGACTGTCAACACAGTCAAGCAACTGAACAACCTGTTAGCTCATTTGTTCTTTCAACTTCCGACACGCAATGAACTCCATCCATAAAAAAACCTTTCAAACGTAGTCAAGGCCAGTTTTGACTGGATAAAAATGGAAGGAGTTCACAAACATCACAGATCAAAGTGTTTCCTACATGTGATGGACGTCCGGTTGACTCGCATGGACACAGAGCTATGCAGAAATAAGATGCTAAGCTAACGTTAGCTGCCATGTCTTTCTCTGCCCTGCAGTACAATAACGATACTCTTCATTTCCACGTCTTCTACTGAGACAATAATTAGGACAATTAGCTGCATTTTTCTGGCACGATAACATCAATTAAAAGCATATTTAACAACCCTTTACATCAACACAAAAGTCATCCGAGTCATTCGCTAAATGTTGACGTGGCTAGCTGATCAAATCTGCCAGCCAAGCGGTTGCCGGCTAGAAACAAGAATCCTGCTTTTGTCCACATAACCGTGAATTCTGAGCAGTGATTCTGAGCGTGTCCCCTCCAAGAGCAGAGGGCTTGACGGGCGTAGCAACACTCAGGGGGATGGAGCTTAGCGAACCATCAATTGAGCTGTCCAATCATGTCATTATGTTCGGGGTGGCACTCTGATGACATCCATTTAAAAAAAAAAAAAAACTGTCTTTTTCTACCATTTTTTCCACTGAATGTCTCTCTGCATTGTTCTTTTGTTGTAGTCTGTCTTTGGAAGTGCCGCTCTGTCGATCAATAAATACATTTGAAAAGATGTTTCCATGCATCTTTGTCTTGTTCATGCCGGTGTTGGCGCTCGCGTGGTCTCGACCCGTCAGCGTTCCCCACAGGAGCCCAATCCAGCTCGCTCAGCTGTGACATGACGGGAAAAAAAAAAAAAGAAGTTCACAGATGAACTTTGTTGAACTTTCTTTTACATGTATTTGAGTATGAACCTGCCAAACACGGGATCTAAATTGCATCTTTTGCCAATTTTTTTTTTTTCCCCCTCTGATGATTTATATTCACAGTTTGATCATATGTCATCCTTTCATGTCATTCCTCCCACATCCATTCAGAGATCCTCTATCATTCCTTCAAAGAGATGAACGGAGCCGTGCCGTGATTTTTCACTTTTTTTTTTTTGTAATGAAATAGAATAGTTACTGTCACGATGTGGAGTGTGACAGATGAAAGCCATCTTCCAATCTCCCTCAGGTCTATTCAGAGGCAGAGAGCCTTTCTCCTCATGCCACAGAATAGACCATCTTCATATTTTTGCAGCCATAAACCACCTCTGTAAGGACAGGAGAATTTCCAACACAGCGCCATGTAGAATGATATTGAATGAACAAATCAATGACACCTCTCCGCCGCAATATACGGGCCTCTACATCTACAAAGAAATACCCATTTCAGCGTCTGCTGACTTTGAACGAGCTGCTCGGACCAGACGAGCTAGTAATCTGTTTCCAATTTCTATCATTTCCATCATTGGTTCCAAATGGTTTTTCGTCCGTGGTGCACCTTCTCGCTGAAATCTGCTTAGAATAACACCTACATGCATATGAAAACACACCCAGGGCATATTGTACATTCCAGGCACTCAAATGAGACACATTATGCTTTTGTTGAAAGTATTTCAGCCCTGTAGT